AAGGCTCGGTGCTGCCATCGCTGGCCGCCGGGGGAGAATCCTGCCTGTCCTTCGTACCGGGTTCTGCTGCAGCAAAAGCCTCCGAACCGACGCTGCCCGGGGCGTCTGCCTGGGTTCTGTGTTTCAGCTGGCTGTTGGCTTTTGTACTGCAATAGGTAAACTTGGGAGCGTGCAGCACGGGAGACTTGGAGCGTCTGCGACGGGGGACTCGTGCCGAGCCTCTGGAAGGCTTTCTCACACACCTGCAGGGTTAGAACAGGTAAGCAAGTAGGTAACTCCAGAATCCACACCACAGCTCAATAAACAATAAAATGTGGATAAAAACCCTTTTAAAATTCTTTTTTTTCTTTTTTCTTAGAAAAATCACGTGACCAGTCACTTAACAATCTGACAGGAAGAGTGGAGGAGTTTGAAGCAACTGGCTCCCCCAAAGAAAAGACACAAACAGCCCTATTTTAAAGGTACCTCCCCCCAAATCTTCTGTGTTAAGCAAATGATACTTTGTCATCCCAAACTGAACTGCAGTGAAGAACCTGGGTAGCACCTGGCGCTGCTGGCAGAATCACACTGAACATCCAGGTACTTCAATATAGAAAAAAATAACCCAAGAAGGTGGTAGGAGTGGGTTGTAAAGGTGTAAGGCTTGAAGAAAAGGACTTCTGAAGAAACTGGAAGAAAAGAAAGTTTTAGGCACCCTTTATAAGAGAATAGAAAACCCTGTTTTCAAAGTGTTTGATTAAATCCCCTTTAAAACCAGCCTATCCAACAGTTATGGTAAAGATCGATAACAGAAGATACGCTGAAGTAGCTAAGACCAGCAGCTTTCACTGGAAGCTGTCTGCAGGCGTTGAAGGTCTCCTCTCTCACCCGAGCCACGTGTCCTTCGGGCAGGCAGGCTGCTGCTTGGCTCCCTCCAGCGCCGCTCTCGGCATCGGCCCCTCGCCCACCGACAGAGCTGCGACACATCTGGGTGCAGAAGGAAAGGTCCGGTTACAGCAGCGCCCCCGCCCCCGCGGCAGGGCTCCAGCTCCGCCCGTTTGCTTCAGCTCCATTTCCACTTGCAGCCCCCACTCCCCCTACAGTCAGTGGTTAGAAACTAGATATTACACATTCATCTAACCACTCGTACTACACTGACCTCAGTCAGATGTCTAAAGATAGGTGAGATGAAATGAAAGGAGGCCAAAATGCCCACAGGCTGATGTCATGCCCTATTTGTACCAAAATGACACATTAAAGGAACGTAAACCCAGGTCCCAAATGTTCTTGTCAGACAATAGCTGTTAAAGATAGACTCCTCCTCATCTAACAGGCAAGTCAGGAACCCATAGCAGCAGGCTGAGGAGTCGTCAATGGAGAAGTGGATGTGGTGCAATAACAGACAAGGGCAGATTACTAATTTATTCCTCTTTACACTTCCCAAATAAACACGGGAAGAAAAAACATGTGGCCCTGAAGGTACAGACAACAAACACCACTGCCTCAGCATACGAGCCTGTGTTTATGATGGCTGCACTCATGGTTTGGGACATAAGAACATAAAAAATGATAGAAGTGAGGCTGAAATTCTAGCAAAAGAGCTGAAGTACTCTGCCTAAAATTGATCTTAAAGGATTAGTCACAAGACTTGAGCTGTTCAAAACACATGCCTGCAAAACAAGATCTTTTTATGCCTAAGAGAGATCACCAGGAAACAACTAGAACTCCAGAGAGTCTGTCACCAGTAACACACCAAAAGTGATCTGTTTCATAAACTCAATTCCTTGTTGGAGAACTGCTCTTTTTTTTCCACATTTAACAGAAGACCTCCTGAGGTAGAGGAAATTAATAGCAAAGCAAAATATGTTTTAAGACTAGAGGAGGTTGTGAGTTCACAGCATTGATGGCTGTGGAGATGAAGGTAAAAGTAATTATCAGTACAGAGCTTTCTCTTGTCTTTCTGAATTCCCAAAAGACTTCAGGTGAACTACCTCACAAAGTATTAGAATGTGTCATTTTATTAACTCCTACTTTTAAGGAAGATGCTTCTACTACTATCAGTATATTATATTATTATTGTATCATTACGTATAATATTTTATTATCTATTATAATTTTCAGAATATTCTTATGCTGTGTTACACTGTGTTATGTTACAGTGTCTTATGTTATGTGATGCTGTGTTATACTATGTCATTATCAGTAGACCCAGCGTGTTATAGAGGAAGTTTTTAGTATGCCTGCACACATCTTACTCTACAAACTCCCTGAAATTAGAAACAATCAGTGCTCGTACGTAGTCTGATAACTTCCAGTGAGACTGAGCTCTCCAGCACGCTATGAGGTGCTGGAGTTGTCCTTCAGACACTTCCCAAGCAGGTCCTCGTGCGTTAGAGCCCAGGCTGGTAACGCGGCCGAGGACACCGGTGCTGATGTGAGGGGACAAACAGGCTCTGTGTCTGAAGCACAAGGTGACTTCAGCTTGGTGACTACCACAGACGTCCAGAGGGAGCTCTCTGGGCAAGTCACTTCATGTTTTCATACAGTCACTGTGTCATTTCAGTTGTATATAGTGTCAAAATTAGCCAACAGTAAAGCACCTCTCTGCCTGTTAGTTTTAACAGGCGTGTTTCACGTGAAGCAATGCAGTTGTCTCCTCTTGGAGAGCAGGACACCTTCCACCAAAGGACAGCTGTTTTGAGATTCAAAACAACAGAAAACAAGTACATAAAAAGAAATGGAGAAGTTACATAGTCTTTTTTGTTGCTGGCTTACCCTGCTGCATCCACTCTCAGCTTCTTGAAAGCTGTTTGCAGACTCTCCTCCTCTTCATCTTTAGCTCCCAAGTCCATGGACGGGCCCTCAGCGTGCAACCAGCTGCGCCATGTAGGACAGGGCGGAGCAGAGGGGCCGGGGTTCGATGCCGAGGTCTCCGCGCACGGCACCGACGGATGCTCGTCCTTCTGCGGCCGATGTCCCGCGTCCCGAGCGGCCCTGCCCAGGCTTCACCGAGAGCTCCCGCCGC